AGCCAGTGAATCGTTTGAATTTTTACAAACAGCAGCAACAAGCAGTGCAGTCGTTTTGGAAGAGATGGCATGTAGAATATATTGGCGAGCTGCAGACACGAGCCAAATGGAAAGAAAATGCCACCCAGTTGATGAAAATTGGAGACTTGGTATTGTTAAGAGATCCAGATGTACCAACTCTCCAGTGGAGTTTGGCGAGAATTACTGACCTTCATCCAGGGGCTGATGCAGTAGTTCGTGTAGTTAGCCTTAGAATGGCGAATGGAAGAGAACTGAAAAGAGCTGTTTCGAGGATCTGTGTTTTACCTATAGAGACTTAACTATAGATGTGCGATTTTATTTTAAGTTTGTCTTAATTTTTATGTAATGTTTTATGTTGTTATTAAGTTTATTGAATATTCATATCAAGGCGGGCGGCATGTTGACGCCTTATTAATTTCACTTAATTTGTATACCCTATTGGTTATGCAACCAGTATAACGTAAGTAGTTGGTGTTGCCTATCGATAAATATCAGTATGAACGCCGGGTTTTTGGCGGTTATGTAGAAGAGATTAGAGGTTAGATTATATATTACAAGAATAAAGATGCAATTACAGAAATTCTTATAAATTTTTATTTAAACAAAAGTGAAGTAAATACAGTCCACTACATCGAGTATGAAACAAGATGTGCCATGCAAGACGGACTTGCATAGCATGAGACTTGCATAGCCTAGATGTAAAGCTGCCTTTACTCTATAGCAATTTAGATTTAAGAGATTTATTGAAAGATATAATCGATTTTAATTTTAATTCTTTAGCTAATCCATTATATACTTTTGATATTTGATATGTAAATGAATTTTTGAATTGTTCTGTACGATGTGGCGGAGCTGTAATTGTATTTTTGTATCTTGTATTGACATTATGTATATCAGTTCTGTATATATATTTTTTAACAAGATATGCTGGTAGAGAATTTTTGATAATTTTGTGGAAAAGATAAGCAGCATGTAGAAATCTTCTTTCTTCCATGCTCAACCATTTTACATGTTTTAATTTGTGAGAAATAGACTGGTATCTTCTTACACCACAGATCAGACGAAGACACGAATTTTGAACCACCTGAATTCTTCTCCTGTCATCTGAACTAATACAAGGCTAATACATAACATCTCCATAGTTAAATTTTGATAATAATAAACTTTCGTACAGTATTCTTTTGACTTTGTATGACAGACAGCGGCGATTATGATAAATTGTTCTTAGACTGAGAAATGCTTTACTCACAGGTTTTAATATGTTTTGTAAATTTGAGTTGATTATCTAAAGTTAAACCTAGATTTTTTGCACTAGTTACAGTTTTAATGATTTCAATATCAAAAACTATTTCAATGATGTTACTCATCTCCAAACACACCCTGTTTGGACCAAAAACTACCAAATTAGTTTTTTTAGAGTTTATATTTATTGCAGGATTTCTTGCCCAAGCAATCAATGATTTAATATCTTGATTAACAATCTCAATAACACTTGCTGTGTCAACCGGGTAAAATGAGTGGTAAATTTGTGCATCATCTGCATAGATATGAAATTTACAGGTATTCCATGAGGTACCAATATTGGTGGTGTATAAAGTAAATAAGATTGGACCTAAGATTGAGTCCTGATGTACCCCTGACAAAATGTTTAGAAAATCAGAGCTTCTTTTGTCTACTTTGACGTTTTACTTCCTGTGATGCAAGTACGACATAACCATATTCAATGCATCCATGGAAAAGCCAATTGACTTCAAAGATGCACAGAGTAGTGAATGATTGAGAGTGTCGAATGCCTTAGAGAAATCGATCAAAACTAAAATGGTAACCTTACCCACATCTCTTTCTCTTAAAATGTCATCAGTTATTTTAAGGAGTGCTGTTTCACAGTTGTGAAATGGCCTAAACCCGGACTGAAAATCGGTTAAGATATGATTGTTAGAAATATAATCATCCAAGCTGCATTTGCTTAATGCGTTCTAACACTTTTGATAGAGTAGACAGAATATTAATAATATAAGATCCTTATATTCGGCTGGATTGTTACATTTAGGTATGGGCCTAATTAATGCTTTTTTCCATTCATCTGGAAAATAGTTACTCGAGAGGCAACAATTGATTATATGTGTTATATAAGGAATGAATAATGGACAACATTGAAGTAACATTTTAAAGTTTAAACTGTCTGAACCTAGAGCATTAGATTTAATAGTATATAACAATTTTTGCACCAGATCACAAGATACTGGAGTAAAGGTGAATTGTTCCCGATTAGGTACAGTATTTAAATAATTGTCAATTGTATTTTGATTGATTGTTAGATGTGGGATGCATGATGTGTAGTACTGATTAATCTTATAGAGTTCTTTTAATGTTTCTGGAATGGTGTGTTGATTCTAACCAATATTAATGAGTTGTATTTTCCAAGTATTTTTTTATCCCACCTACATGAAGTTTGTGTTGAAAGAAGGCATTTTTTTCATTCTCACATGCTAATGTTGTATAATTTCTAATCGTTTTGTAGTAGGTAAGGTGAGCTACCTCCTTAGTTTTCTGCCACTTTATTTACCCTGATCTCTTAGTGACATAAGAAGTTTCACATTATCTTTTTAAAAGGAGCATGTTTGTCGAAGAGAGCCACAATGGAGCTACTTAAGAATTTTACTTTGTCATTGATGTTTTCAACGTTTTCAATGTTATAGATGTTGGCAAACAGAGTACAGTTTAAATCAAGTAAAAAAGTGTTTGAAGTTTCTAACAGTCTTAAAACATGGGGCTGGTTTTTCTGGGAAGATATTAATGTCACAATAAATAAGCTTATGGTCTGTTATGTGGTCAAGTGAACATATACCAAAGGAGTCTAAAAGTTTAAAAGATTTTTGGGTGCACATATACCTGAAGAAAATCGATCTGGGAAGTTTGCTGAGAGATCAAGCAAATGTATTTTCATTGGCTATTGTGACAATTGTGACAATGAATGGGACCCTCTGAAATGAGCAGTTTACATCTTGTTCATTTAATCTTGATGAAACTTATGAAAGTGAATCTTCAGTTCATGTGTTGAGACATAGAGGTGTGGATGAGCAAACTATTTCTGAACCTAAATAATGATCAAGAAAATGAGATACGTAGAAGTTCAAGAGATAGACGTACGCGTTCTTATCTTGATGACTATGAAGTGGGTATGATGACGGCTTTATCTGCTTTCTTTCTACCTTTTGAATCGCCTAAAAACTACACTGAAGCTGTTTCGATGGAGAATGGATAGAAGGAGGCCATAGATAATGAACTTTTGGCGTTAGAAAACAACGGTAACATGACTTTGGTAGCACCTAAGACTGATGACGTAATCGTTGATTCACGATGGGCTTTGTTGAGAAAAATGTTGATGGTCAGTTAGTGAAAAGAGCTCGACTAGTGGCCAAAGGCTATCAGCAGCCAGCATTAGACAACGAAGACGAGTATGCACCAGTAGTTCGATTAACCACCCTGAGGGTACTGTTAGCTGCTGCTGTAGATCCTGATATAAATATTTATCAACTTAATGTGAAAACTGCTTTTTTGGAAAGTCCAGTGTCTAATTATGTGTTTTTAAAGCCACCGGATGGTCTAAATGCTAAATCTGGTGTACCTAGTATGTAAGTTGGTAAAAGCTTTATACGAGAAAGCCCTAGAGTTGGAATACAACTATTAACAAGCATTTATGTAATTTAGGAGTTAAAAATGTAAGGTTGATTCTTGCTTATATTGGAATGGAAAAACTTATATTTTGAGATGAGTGATGATATGTTTCCTATTTAAATTTCGAAAAATGATGTTAAATTTTTAAAATCAAATTTAAAAAAATATATAGAATTAAGGGATTTATGAAATGAAACAAAAAATGTCTTTTAGGATTAGAAATTAAAAGAAAAGATCAAACAAGTTGTTAGCCAGAAAAATTTAGTTACAAAAATTATTAATCGTTTTAATCAAGTGTCTGTGTCTGACAGAAAGAGTGTTTTTGCATAATATATTCTTTGTAATAAGAAAGTTGTAAATTGTTGTTCTAAAAAGCAATCGGTAGCTGGTCTTAATAGCAGTGAAACCGAATATTTAGTGTTGTCTGCGTGATGACTGAGTGTTTGTTTTTAGGTCAACTTTTAAAAGAAATGTTTAATTTTCAATATCCTATTAAAGTTTTTGAGGACAGCCAAGATTGCATAAAGTGGCTCAAACTTATGAGACCAATCGCTCAAAACATATTGATGTAAAACATAATTTCGTAAAAGATATGGTAAATAGATGAAAGTACCTAATATCTACTAGGCCAAATAGCAACCGCATGCAACAAGTATGAGCTGGAGTTCAACATCAACAAAATTAAATAGGTATATGGTAATATCTAAAGGACAAATTATCAATGGAGGCATATAAGTTAGCTGTCAGCAATTACCTACTAGTATAATTTACCTGGTCTGCAAAATAAATAGCAATTGGGACCCTTCTTTAGAAAGTCGTCGCATTGCACAATCAAGAACAGCTTTCTTCAAGTACAAGAGAATTCTTTGTAGGAAAAAAATAATTCTAAATCTGAAGATTAAGGTTGATGAAAAAATAGTGCTTTATTTCATCGAATTAATTGTTCCATTAATATAATTATTCATATAAGTGTGCCTGTATATTATAACGTTTAAAAGGCATTAATTGCCATCTTTGAGAGACTAGACGAACTTTTACACAATTTTAATATTCAGATAGCTTGTTTCCTGTAGAAATCTGATATTTTAAAAACGATTAGTATATTACTTATTAATAATATATAACAATTAGTTCAATTTGCGCAATATCTGTAATTTATTAAAAGAGAATTCTAAAACTTTTAAATTTCAAATAATAAAAATATACACACAATAAATAGAAGAAGAAGGGAGGAGAAGTAAGGTTAGTTACAAACTTCATGATTGTATTGTTGTTAAATGTCAAATCAGTCAAATGAAAAGACCTAAATACACAATTTACCTAATGTTCGTTTACAGTTAGATAATATTGATGTCATTTGCATTTATTTACAACAATGAAAACTATTTTTTCACAAATTCTAACGACTTAAATGTATCTGTGCGGTAAAAATGGTAAAAATTTAAAGTGCCAGTTGACAAGTGCCAGCTCATCTGGTGTTTATGGACATTTTTTCAGTACTGTAATGTAACAAAATTGCCATAATGTCATATGAAGGAAATACACACAATGTAGAGCTCTCTCCAGCCTTTATAGAACATTTGCAGGTTGATTTCAAAAGCCTATCTTCAGAATCAAAAAAGAAGTATCCCCAAGTGAAAGAGGTAAGCCTGGTTTTGATTGATTGATTAAAATTGTATTACATTTGAATTTCAGGCATGCGAAGAAGCTATTCTTAAATTAAAAGGTGCCCAATCTTCCCCACAAACATCAATATACTATGTTGTTAACCAAATTATCTACCCTCTGTCGCAAGGTTGTGAAACAAAGGATGTTAAAATTATAAGGGTAAGTATTTATGTTAGTTTTCTTATGTTCTGTAACAATCTGGTACCTGATTATTTTTCCAAAGTTGGCCTGGTCTCACTTGCAACATTATGACTTCATTTATGATGTAAACATTAAAAACCGAATTATTACTTCATACTTTACCAAGGTGTTCGCTTGGCAATTGCAAGAGTTTTTTTATCAGATATTGATTGAGTGTATTTATTTTGTTAGATTACTGTTTTTGTAAGCTTTAAAACAGTTTATCATTTGATTATGTTCATCACCTACTGTTAAACTTTATGTATGATATCCCATTAAGTTATAATTTCTGTTTTAAATTATTAGAACTTCAGTATATATACTGTTGTGCAGCTGTTCACTGCCAGTTTAAGTACTTCACATGGGTAAATGTACTTACATGTATTTTGTTTTTTCTCTAATGAGAATTCTGAGTCCTCTTGTGACCAAAATCATTTTGTGTTGATACCAAAGAGTTTTCCATCTGTCCCATCCTAATATTATCTTATCCATTAGTATTATCAACATTGTCTTATAATATATGGTAACCAACAGTAAACTCAACAAGTTTCCCTCCTTATCTTATACTATGTTTTGCAGTTGTAAATATGGTTCTCCATGGTATTCTCTATATAAAGTCTGAACTAATTTGTATATATTCGAAAAGTATACATTATTAATTATTGTTTAATCTACCAGATTTTTATGAAACTTTTATGATAGCAAGTGTTATGGCTAGATGATATTTATGGCTATTAATTTTGCAGTTATGCCTACAAATAATGCAGAAACTTATAACACATCAATTAGTAGATCAGAAAGGTGCACTATATATTACTGATACACTTTGGTCTCTAATGGAATCAGGAATTGAAGAAGTGAAAATATTACAAACAGTGACATTACTTTTGACCACTAATACTGTGGTTCATGGAGAAACATTGGCTAGGGTAAGTAAACATTCTTTGTATTATGAGGTCAGATAGGATATAGGTAAAAACTTTGTTGTTTTGGGAAAATTGGTCTTGGTCCCTTGGAGGGAGTGTAGTGGTTGTGGTGATATTGTGTATGGTCTGTCTTCATAGAATTCTGTCATTTCTATTACATCATGCATAATGTCTTTTGCAACTTCCTGTGATCTGGTCAATCCATCTTGTTGGAGATCTTCCTAGTCTTCACCAATCAACCTTTCCTTAAATGATAGTCTCTCTAGTGCGCTTCTCCAGAACTTTAGGAATTTAAAGTAACTATATTTAGATAATAAAATTGTTCATTTCTTTTGGCACCATATTAATAGCATTAATTCCTGAAATCATAAAATTTATGATCTAAAATCACTTAGACTTAATTATCAGTTGCCATGGGTAATATGTGTTTAACAGATATATTTTCTATGTACATTTTGTGGGGCATTCAAATCAGTCCTTAAGCAATTGAGATAATTACAGTTTGTATTGGTACTTCTGAAAGAAACTTAAAATTAACAGGCTCAATGTAAACACTTAAAACAACAATATTATCCAGATTACATTGCATTAACTGAATTATCTCTTAGGGACAATATTCAAAATTTTTGTAAATTTGTTGTTAATAAAAATAGCAAACCTAATGTACCATCAGTTGTATACTATAATAATATCACTGGTTGTACTAGTACAGAGACTGTTAATTTGTTTCCTGGATACTTTTCAAAAACTTATAGTGATATAGTCTGTATTTTGCAGGATAATATTTTAGCTTCTGGTTGCATCAATTTATCACAATTTAGTATATCTCAGCAATTTATGAAAAACTATCTATCTTAGATATCTACAAGGGACCTGGTTGTAATGGGCTTCCCTTATTAAACATTGCAGCTTTTTCTAGACCCCTTTTTCATTTTAATCTTTCATTAAAGAATGGGATAATTCCAGCCTGTTAAAAAAAAAAGCTTTATTACTCCCATTCTTAAATCTGGAGATAACTCTCAGGTTAACAATTATAGACCCATCAGTGTACTTAGTTGTATTCCAAAAGTATTTGAGAGCCTTGTTTGTGACTATTTAGGTGCTAGCTTAAAATACTATTTTATAGACCAACAATTTGGATTTATTCTTCACCAGTCAACTGAGCTTAATCTATTTACTTTCACTGATTTTATTTTGGAATCTTTTGAGGAAGGTACTGAAGGTTATGCTTTGTGTATGGACTTTACAAAGCTGTTTTTCGTGTAAGTCATAAAGTTTTAATTAATAAGTTACATAGTCTGGATAGTCAGGGGTCATAACAGAAACCCCACCAATCAAATCTATACTATAAAAGCTTGTGTCCTTTAGAGTCTTTAACCCAAGTTAAAGATTTAGGTGTTGTTCTTGATTCCACTTTTATCATTTGTACTGCACAAATTGATAACTATTTCAAAGTTACTTCAAATGCTGAGCTTTATCAAATGCTGTGCTTCTTCTTCTTAGAGTGCCATATTCCTACAGAACGTCAGCGACTACCATGCTTATAATATTATTATACTGATCTCTGTCTTGGGCTATGTATAGCAATTGGTCCGCTGACAAACCTGTCCACTGCCGCAAATTCTTCAACCAAGAGAGTTTCTTCCGTCCGTTTCTTCCTCTGATTATATGTCCAAATATTCTAGTTTACGCCTCTTAATAAGATTTAATAGAGTTTGTTGATGTCCCATTCTTCGAAGAACTTCTTCGTTTCTGGTTCTGCTAGTCCATGGAATTTTTAGTATCCTTTGATACAACCACATCACAAACGCCTCGATTTTATTCATGATATCGGCGTTTAAAGTCCAAGTTTCACATCCATACAAAAGTACAGACCACATGTAACATCTTGTAAACTTTTCACGGATTTTCAAATTTAATGAGTTATTGGATAATAGAGGCTTGAATTTTTGAAATGAGTTTCTTGCCTGTTCAATTCTACATCGAATTTCGAAGGATGGATCTAGATTTTGGGTAATCCAACATCCAAGGTATTTGAATCTCTGAACTCTCTGCAGCGGTTGTTGGTTTAATATCAGTTGGGTTGCGCCGATATCCACTTTACTGGTCACCATGTATTTAGTTTTATCAATATTTATTGACAGTCCCCAATTTGTGCATTCCATGTCAACTCTATTGATTAGCTCCTGCAGATTGTCGATGTTTTCAGCTAGAATCACAGTATCGTCGGCGTACCGTATATTGTTAATTATTTCTCCTCCTATGATAATTCCTTTTTGATCTTTTAAAGCTTCCCCAAATAGATTCTCAGAATACACGTTAAAGAGGGTGGGAGATAGTATACAGCCTTGTCTTACGCCTCGTTCAATACTGATTGGCTTTGATTCTCTGTTGTTGGTATTAATAATGGCTGTTTGGTTCCAGTAAAGTTTGTCAATAAGTTTGATGTCTTTCTCATCTAGTTGGATGCTCTGCAAGGCAGTAATTAATCTGGTATGCTGAACGCGATCAAATGCCTTTTCAAAATCAATGAAGTACATATATACGGGTTTTCTTACCTCCCAACATCGTTGAAGGAGTGTTTGCGTAGAAAATAGTGCTTCTCTAGTTCCAAGGCATCTCCAGAACCCGAACTGCTCTTGACTAATTATTTCTTCGCACTTGTTGTTAATTCGGTTTAGAAGAATATGCAACAGTATTTTAACGGCATGGCTCATTAAACTAATGAGTCTACAATCGCTACATTTCTTAACGTTTGGTTTCTTAGGTAGAGGAATAAAGATCGATTTTAACCAGTCCGATGGAATGTCACTGGTATCATATATTTGATTGAAAAGTACAGTGAGTTCTTTTATATTGTCATTTGAGAGTAATTTTAGCCATTCGCTGTATATTTGATCTGGTCCACTGGCTTTGTTGTTTTTGGCTTGAAAATGCTGTGCTAAGGATTTTATTAATATGTCTTCCAATAAATTATTATACTGTTCACTAGTGAGACCTCACTTGGATTATTGCTCATGTGTTGGGTCCCCCCCCTATAATGTTCATATTCAGGCTATTGAGAGTGTTCAATATAAATTCCTAAGATTTATTTCATTAAGGATCACCATACAGCTGACAAAATCAATTACTCTAACATTTAAAGTTTTCTTAACATCACAACTCTTCAGATCAAATGCATGCACAAGGATCTAACTATGCTGTACATTGCACTCCCATAGTTTCAGTCCACAACTGTTAGAAAAAATTAACATCTATGTCCCTTATCAGGCTTATCAAACCTTTCCAAATTACCCACCATCAAACAAACTATGGATATAATTCTTATATATCTGATCTGCTAGGTTTGCAAATCATTATACAGATAGGTTGGATTGTTTAGAAAAGCACAGTATTTTAAAAGTGCAATTAATATCTTGCATGTGATTCTTTGATGCTACTAACTGTGTAAATTGTGACCTGGTTTTTGTTTTGTTTTTTTTTCTTTCTTTTCTGTCTGTTAGTTTTAAATTTTATGAGATGTAATAAATTAGGGTTTTAAAATTTTATATATTGATATTACAATATTGTAATATTGTATGTATTTAAATTGGCAATTACCCATTAACAAAAGTATGTATGGTTTTTGTAAAAGTAAACATTATTATTTTTAGACATTGGTACTATGTTTTCGGCTACACTTTGCTAAAAACTCTACTACTATCAATACAGCTGGAGCAACAGTGAGACAGTTGGTATACCTAGTGTTTGAAAGAGTTGTGTCAGAAGATGAACAGCTTTCAAAAACTGAAAATATTCCTCAAAGAACCACTGCTAACTTTGAGGATTTAAAGGTGCCTAGTGGGAATCCACCAAAGGGTAAGTTATCTAGGTGATATTCAATCACAAGTGTTTAATATGAAAGCTTGTTAGTGGCAAGAACAATAAAATCTAAAGATTGTTTGTTATAGGACTTCCGCCATGTGCAGGAGATGCATTTTTATTATTTCAAGACTTAGTGCAATTGGTGAATGCAGATCAACCATTTTGGTTGATAGGAATGACTGAAATGACAAGAACTTTTGGATTGGAATTGTTAGAATCAGTATTAACTCAGTTTTCTTCAGTTTTTTTCAAGGTAATGTAGAAGATAATTAATGTATTATGTACTGATATTTTATTGTAGGTTTGTTTCTTCTAAATGTTATATTTTATTGTTTTAGAATACTGAATTTAGTTTTCTACTTAAAGAAAGGGTTTGTGCTTTAGTTATAAAATTATTTTCGCCAAATATTAAATACAGAAGCAATGTTCCCAGTAGCCTTCAACAGGCAACACCATTTGAAAAGCCATATTTTCCCATAAGTATGAGATTACTCAGGGTTGTGTCTATTTTAATACAGAAATACCATAGTTTGTTGGTGAGTACTATTTGTTTTAATTGTGAGCTTTGACATTAATCTGTAATTTTAATTTTTAGGTGACTGAGTGTGAAATATTTTTGTCTTTAATTGTTAAGTTTTTGGATCCTGACAAGCCAACATGGCAGAGGTCCCTTGCCTTGGAAGTATTACACAAAATGACGATCCAGCCAGAGTTACTGAATTCATTCTGTCAATGTTATGATTTAAACCGGCATACAACTAGCATATTTCAAGATATAGTGAACTCTTTAGGCGCTTATGTCCAGTCTCTCTTTGTTAGTCCCCAGTTGCAAATGGGAGCAGGTAGTAAGTTTAGACTTTTTGTTATTTCAATAATATAATATAATCAATAATTTCTTAAAATTAGGATAGAGCCCATCTTCCATTTCTAATAGCTGATCTAATCTTTTCTGACTTTATTTTCTACTACCATTATTTCACTTTATTTCTCCATTATTTAAATTTATTTTTCATAGTTATACCAGTTTGTATACAGTATGATGTAAAATGTATGGAATAATTTCATTATTTCAGAAACAGACGACTTTTAAAAAAAATCTTAAAGACACATCAATTTTAATTTTCGAGTGGTCATCAACTGCTATATATGTTGGACATTACGTCATCAGTGTTGGCGTAATGACGTAATCGACGATTTTTTTAAATACAAACCTAGGTCACGCGACATCTCATTTGAAAGGTCTCCTTAATGCCTTTGCAACGATATAATCATTTGAATATTTATTTCTACAGGGTTAAACAAAACTGTTGGTTTATTAACACAATTAACTTACAATAAACATTTACTTAAATACAATTAAATTACAACAAATGTTCAAACTGACGACCTTCCGCAATAATACTATGTGAAAGATGGGCAATAAATTCTTTCCTAACTCTTTCGATGACTGCAGGTGTTGTTTGTGCAATTTTCGTTCTGATACATTCCTTTAACTCTTCTACATTATTCGGTCGGTTTTGATGCAATTTGCTCTTTAAATATTCCCACAAAAAAAGTCTAACGGAGTCAAATCTGGAGACCTTGGTGGCCATTCGATGGACCCCCCTCTACCTATCCACCTACCTGGGCAAACGTTATCAAGGTAATTTCGTACCCCAACGCCGTAGTCTGGGGGAGCCTCATCATGTTGGTACCACAAATTATTTATATTTGGAAATAGCTGATTCAGCTGTGGCAACAGATAATCCTGAAGAAATTCTAGATAGCAAGAAGCAGTTAAGTTTTCCTCAAAAAAATATGGCCCTACAATTTGATTGTTTATAATGCCGGCAGAAACATTAATCTTCTCGGGATATTGTGTCCTATACTCTTCCATCCAATGTGGATTTTCACTTGCCCAGTATCAATATGTCTGGCGATTTACGTGACCATTCAGCAAAAAAGGCGCTTCATCAGAAAAAAGTACCTTTTGTATGAAACCCTGATCTCTGTTACATTTTTTCATAATGGTTTTGCAGAATTCGATTCTTCTATCAAAGTCATCTTCTAATAGCTCCTGGACCAGATGTACTTTGTATGGATGCCACTTCTCCTTTTTTAGCACTCTTACAACAGTTGATGGGTGGACATTATTATCTAGTGCGACCTGCCTAGAACTGGTATGGTAATTTTCTTGAAACGCCAGTACAACTTCCAGTTTCTTGTCTTCGGATATTGATTTTTTACCAATTCTGGGAAGATCTTTAACATGGACCGTTTCTCTCTTTTTTTTTCCAATTTTGCTTACTGTTGATTGAGTAATTGGTTCGAGATTGGGGTATTTAGCATTGAGTCTGCTAAACTTCTGCTTGAGTCCTCAATCTATTTAAAAACCAATCATGATTAAAATCTCAATTCGTTCTGTTTTTGTTAGTTTCATTTTCGTAAATGCTTTTATTGATGTCGGCAAAAAACTTGAAGAGTAAAAATTTGACGTCTATTATTTGATAGATTCACAGATCATTGACAAATTAAGACGAGTCAATGACAATATTGATTTAAATATTTTTGAAAAATAACTTGGAATACTTACTACCATAATTTATTTTAGATTATAATGTAGCATTGTTTGTTAGCAATGTATTTTTTTTTTCGGAACCAATAAAAGACACTATTTTGTTTTTTTTTTTCAGTGGCGTTCCTGAGTTTATTTTAATTCAGTGAATGAATATTTATTGTAACTCCATATTACTTAACAAAGTTCATAATTTTGGTGAACCCTGTAGAATACATATTCAAATGATTATATCGTTGCAAAGGCGATAAGGAGACCTTTCAAATGAGCCATCGCGTGACCTAACTTTGTATTTAAAAAAATCGTCGATGACGTCATTACGCCGACACTGATGTCGTAATGTCCAACACGTATATATAGCAGTTGATGGCCATTAAAAAATTTAAATTGACGTGTTTTAAGATTTTTTTTTAAAGTCGTCTGTTTATGAAATAATGAATTTATTCCATACATTTGCATCATACTGTATAAATGACAATTGTGATTAGAATACCCAAAATGGCTGATAATATGGATCCAGGAAGTAATCTTGATCTAATACCTCTACTCATTATGTATCTACTCTACTCATTTTTCATGCTGAGAAGTGTGAAATTAAAGACCATAATAAATAGAATGACCAATGAAGAAATTATTAGAGCAAATTCTCGATTCGACTTTTATAAATGTCAGTATGGAGCATGTCTCAAGAGGCAATGCTAAAGAAGTATAACTGTGTAAATCAATTGACTACAAAGTTAAGTTGCAAACATGAGTGGGACACTGATACTATTTCCGAGCTAAACAAAAGTGCCATCAAGTTGTATAAAGACAGCTTCAAAAGAGCAGAAGGAACTGGGATAGGAATATACAGGCCTATAACTAAATACTTAGATAGCCTGAACAGAATGACGCCCATCAGTATACTTCAGGTGATCCTTTGGCGTAGTAAGACAGCTTCTGCAGAACTTAGTAGGATTATTCATTGTTGCCTTGTTACAAGAGCTCTAGCTATACCAGCTCCAAATAAAAATCACATCAGATCAGAACTTATATGTTAACAGAATTTCACGCTATTGTAAAATGCGCCCAGGTAAACTTAAGCAAAAAATATCGGAAGACTGTCATAAAATCCAATATTCAATGTGATCACCTCCAAAGTAGTATGGGAATATTTAGGGAAATTAAATGAACAAAACAAGGGAAAATCTGCAATGGATTCCTGGACATGCAGGAGTAGATTGTATTTCAAAGGAGTCAATTGGCCTCGAAGACCTTTCTATACTGACCTGTAATATCTTTTGCGTATATCCTACATGTATATGCAGTCCAACAGATATAAGCTTCTAAGAAACCTTATTACCCATTTAAGAAAGATTTTTTTACCTGGTTGGTCTCTAAAAAGCTTATTTTCACAGAATCTTTATGTTATTCTGTCCACTTTACGCATTTTACAGTGATTTTTTTCGGTATGCTACAATCCTTTTCCCATTTTCGGACATCCTCCACAACAATTCTTTTATATCTTTAAACCCACAGTAAAGTTAGTTTGTCCAATTTGTTGTCGACTCATAAGTTGTAGATTTCAGTGCAGTTTGACTGTCTTAGGCGATAAATACTTTGGCTAAATTGAGGCGTTTTTTTTCAGGCACTCTTAAAGACACGTCAACTATTATAGGTTACAGTAAAAGTGATAAGACTTTTCCTTGAGTATAATCTTTTTTATGCTCTTGATGATGTGTATCTAGATTCATCAAGCTGTCGTTTCTTTATCTTTAATAAATGTTGAAGGTGAGCACTCAAAAGGCTTCTTATGCTTTCTCCTTTGGTTTCCATAAAATCACTGGCTAATTAAGCAGTCGAATGCCATTAGCTGTGATCTGCCAGGTAATCCTTTCTTAACTCAGCGTTATATTTTGTTACAGCCTTTTTGTGGTCCTCCCAATGACCCGAACTGTTAGCTCTGTTGAAGACTATGCATGCACTAGCCTTTAAATCTTATAACACCTTATTTCACCAAGGCTCATGTCTACTGATGGCTTTATTCTTGATGGGACAAGCTTCCTCATAATAATTTATTATCATACGATTCAACCAGTGTCATGGCCAGTTTCATTTGCTCTTATATGAACATCAGTCAGTTTGTTTCGGTAGTTGCAGTGGTAAATATGGATTTGTTACAAGGTCTATGTTATAAGAAGAAAAACATTCTAATAGGTGTTCACCTCGTTTGTTTATGTCTGTGCTGCCTCTTATAGTATTGTAGAAATTTGTGACTCGGAAAGTAGCCAGATGCTATTATAATATGCATTTTACCTCTGTCGGTGGGAATTTTCACTTACGATGTTGCAAGTGATAAACTTTGAAACAAGTAAATTTATTTAAGGTTGAAATGAGCATTCTCTTACTGTGTCGTGCATTTGTGAATAAATCTGCTTAGATCTGTTCTTTGGCAGTCCTTTAATAAGTCATTTGCAAGCCCATGCTTTTTTAATTACTTCTAGGAAACTATGACTATAGACGATTTAAATATTGCATTAGCTTAAGCAACAAGGATTACATGTTTTAACATGGATACTTACATACCATTTTAAACTGAGTAAACACCTGAAAACATTGAAGGTATTAGATGTGGCGGATGTTGTGGGATAGAGCAGCAAACCTGTATGCAAATACTCTCAAGCTGCTGCGCCCTTAGAAATTCCTTAACGTTTTTAGCGAGACTGCGTGGACAGCTTTAATCAGTGAGAAACCATCAGAGAATGCAAGATAGGCGCACAACCATTAAATCTCGTAGATCATAGTATGACTTCTACCTTAAAAGTAGTGGTATTACTTGTCATTTTCTTAGGTCATCACCATTTCTGTGAAATCATTAAAATATTTCAAACATTTCTTATACTTTTTATAAGCTTCCGTTTTACATGCCCTAATCATTATTTTTATCGGCCATTATTTTTTCTGGCTTGTATGATCCAGTAATAGCCAAATATATATCTGACATATTTTTCAGTGCAAGTTGGACAAGGTCAAACTCCCATGTATTTAGGAGTATCAGCAGGTCCAGGAGTTTCCCCTCAACCCGGTTTCCTTTTAAGAGGAGTATGGTTACCAATTGTTACTACATTCCCCACAGGACAAACTAAATCTACATAGTAAGTAGACAATATTATTTTCTATAAATAGAATCTAGCGTAATATTAAAATGTGTTTTAGTTTGGAAATGCTAGACAAAATAGAGCCACCAATAGTTCCAGATGGATACGGTATTTCTGTAGCATATGCTTGTTTAATGGAAATTATTCGTTCCCTTCAAATAACTATAAATCCACAACAGCAACCAGACGAACCGGTTCAACCCAAGAAAGAAAACAGCAAAGAACTGAACTGCCAACTGATCAATTCAAGTTGGTGTGGCTTGTTAGCTGCACTGAGTCCTCTAGTAGATGCCAGTACCGAAGAATCTATAACTGAAAATATCTTGAAAGCCATTCAGACTTATACTTCATTATGTGGCATGTTAGATTTGAACACTCCAAGAGATGCGTTCATAACAGCTATTTGCAAATCTTCCTTGCCACCACATTATGCTCTTACAGTTTTAAATACTGTAACCTCTGGAGTGAATCTTAGACAAGGTAATTTATTTTATCTAGTTGGTCTTTCATATCACTTGAAAATTAATATTTTTGGCAGTTGCTATAATTGTGTAACTATATACAGTAGGGTGGAACGAAAAAGGCCAAAAAAATAAAATAAAAGAAAAATGATTGTGGCTATTGTTTAAAAGTTGTGTCAAGTAAGGGAAACAAACGGTGCGAAAGCATTTTGAAATAAAAAAAAATCTTGAGGTTCCATATTGGATTTGAAAAATGAAAAACACAAACAAAATATTTTTGTTGAAAAAATCGATTTGGCTGTGATCAACAGTCGTCTTTAGGATTAAAAAGCATCTTATGCAAAATTATTTTGAAATTAAACGATGTTTTCAGGTTCCAGATGCGTCATTTGTTGGGTCAAGGGGGCATTTTCCCCCTCCCCCTGGCCCTGAAAATAACTTACAAAAAATAGATCAATTTTGTATTATGTTTGCATATATAATGTATGGTATATATAATGCTTGCCCCACCCCCATATCAAAATTTCAAATGACGCTCCTGTCAGGTTCCATAATGCCATTGAAGCTTGATGGTATGAAGTACGTGTTCCAAACAACGCCAGTTGTAGATCAAGTAGGTAGAGAAGATAAAAACGCAGACGCAGATGTTACATCAATCTTCCAACCATTCACGCAGGCATAGTGACACAACAACAGATAACAGTAATGTTGAGTTTCAGACGTGTCGTATATAAACATATTCTTCGAAATGTCAACGCGAAGTAGTTGGAACTGTCAAATACTAGGAACAATTATTGGTGTTTCCAATGATCGCGTTTTACCCACTAAGTGTGACATTCTAAAGTGCTTTCTCTTTATTCTTAATAAACTTAAGTTGACAAATAATAATAAAGATCCATCTATCGCCGACGCCTCGAATGCCGTTGCAACGAAAGTAGAACAAATATGGATAAAAGCTTCTATTCCAATATTATCGCATAAGCGCATTCAAGATATGATCAAAACTATTTATACAGAGTATCAAAAGCTGAAGCGATACACAAAAACTCAGCAAGCATCTAATTCATACAAAGAAAAGATTTGCCAGTTTCGAAATGAGTGTGAAAAGTTATTTGATATCGCGGCTTGCAAGTGCAATATAAGTGGAACACTGTGTGAGTGTACTTGTGATAAAACCAAGAAAGTACCATAAAATAAGCGAATTTTTCTTCAAGATCAACGATCCTGTAGAAAAATGGCAATTGGACCAGTGAATATTGCAGCATCTGCTGCAATAAGGAAGAAAATGGAAAGAACCACGAAGGCAAAGGCAAGTTCTCAAAAATATAATACTGAAAAAATTGTTCTTAAAGCATGTACCGTTGATTCCTCAAATCGTTCCATAAGTAGCAACTTGTCTGATTCAAATTCTTCTGATGCAGATGATCATGAAGAAGAATTCATTGCCCCTTTGTCAACAGTTACAGTCCAACCATCTACGTCACAAATGCGGATTTGCTTGCCAAGTTTAGCTTCGGCGTGCGACAGAACCAGGGTCTCCGATCGTTCTGCTGCAATTATAGCATCAGCGGTCTTAAAAGATATGGGAGTTATAACTGTGATTGATACATCGAAAGTAATTGATAGAATGAAAATAAGGCGACAGCGTGCATCTCATAGACGTTCACTCCAGAAGCAGAAGGAGGGACTGTCAATCAGAAGTATATTTTTTGATGGGCGTAAAGACAAGACTGTCTTGCAACAAAAAAAAGGCAAAAAGTTTTATAGAAAAGTAGTTACAGAAGAACATGTAACAATTATTGTAGAACCAGGCTCTCGATATCTAGGGCACGTGTCTCCTTTATCAGGATCGGCTGCAAACATCGCGGATAGCATACAGACATTCATCCTGAAAAATAATATTGATATATCAAAGTTAAGCGCAGTTGGATGCGATGGTACGGTAGTAAACACTAGCCCTCAAGTAGGCGCTATAAGAAAACTGGAAGAATACTGCGGCACCTCACTTCAATGGCTAGTATGCTTATTTCATTGCAACGAACTACCTCTACGTCAATTAATACAACAGTTAGATGGACGCACCAGTGGACCACTTGGTTTTTCAGGGCCAACAGGAAAACTTCTGGAACGCTGTGAAGAGAAAGCTGTCGTCAATTTTGTTGCAATAGAAAACAACCTACCAGTATTATTAGAAACAACAGACCTTAGTACCGATCAGAAGTACTTGTACCAAGTCAGTCAAGCAGTTTCTGCAGGAAAATGTCCTAACGATTTGAGCCTTCAAAAACCTGGGAAAATATCACACGCAAGGTGGCTGACAGTTGCTAATCGGTTGCTTCGATTGTATGTTGGCACTGAATGTCCCAGCCCTCAATTAATTATGTTAGTAACTTTCATCCAAAAAGTGTATGCACCAGTTTGGTTTTATATAAAACTGTATCCTAGCTGTTCTGATGGTTCGAAACATTTATGGCGAATGATCCATTATTTACGATTTCTACCAGTTGACCAAAGTAAAAGTGTCGATGCAGTTATCCAAAGGAATGCTTATTTTGCCCATCCCGAAAATTTATTACTCGGAATGATAAAAGATAAACGAAAACATATACGAGAGCTAGGACTACGCAGAGTGCTGAAAGCTAGACAAAGTCAGAAAGAAAAAAAGATCCGGAGATTTAAAATACCAACATTAAATTTTAGTGCTGAAGATTATATTGACTTAATTTCTATTTCTGAATGCAGTGTTACGGCTCCGCCTTTGCTAAAACATATTTCCAATGAAAATATAAGGGATATGATTGATTCCGGGAATCACAACAAAATAGATGTCTTAAACTGCCCCTGTCATACCCAATCTGTCGAAAGAACTGTTAAGTTAGTAACTGAAGCATCAGCTGCTGTTTATGGACCAGAATCAAGGGATGGCTTTATTTGTTCAAGGTTGCAGTCTAGAAATATTATGCCGTTTTTTAACACAAAATCAGACTACCAATCATAAAATGTATATTGCATCATAAAACAATTATTTTGATTAAAAAAACTAATAAAAAAATAAATTTTTTAAATTTTATTTTTTTTTTGTTATTTCCAAAAATTTAAATTCAATATGGAACCTGAAGATAGGGTCAAATCCAAAAAATATTTTTTACAGTTTTATTATACATCTAAACGCAACTTTTCCGCACTAGCCCCAAAAAAAATATTGACTTCGAATTTTTCGTTCCACCCTAATATACAGTGTAGGTAAAAGTTTATGGTCGGTATGGTAAAATTTAACAGGATATCTAACGCAGATATAAAATCATATTTTCAGCGAATAGACAAAGATAACAATCATATTTCTCCTTGGTCTCCCCTCCATAAATATTTTTAACACTCATTGCCCATTAGTGAGACGAATAGTTCCGATCAGAGATATTTTACATATTCTCTGGTTCCGATCCTAATATACCTAAAAAACTAGAGGTGGGTCCTCCGTTTTTTAAATTTTTATCGGAACCGTTTTTCGTAAACTGTAACTAGTTGATTGTTTACCAGTATTCAAATTAGCGAGTACACAAACATATTGGCTATTATCGTTTATGTGTATAAGTATTGAAGTGAAAGAACCTAACGAAGGATATATTTATTATAACTTGAAAAATAAATTAAACAATACAAATAGTACTTACATTTACATTACACATTATTAAATCGCGAATCGTCTAAATTGACATTTAAAAACATAAGTTTTTTCCACTTTTCTTGTTAACCGTGTTCTTCTTTTATTTAAAATTAAACCAGATTTTAAACATCTGTTCACAAGGAAAAGATTTTGTTACAATACTACAATATTTTATGAATATAGTGGTTAAGTTAGGTTATACATGGCGATGGTTTTTCCACCACGGTTATGGACAGTTCCATTCTCCGTTCGAAATTTTTTGTGGGTAATATATCATCAGACAAATACATGTCGACTTCTTTTATATCTCTCGATACAGGTGTATGTTTAGATGAGTCATGTCCAATTAATTCATCAAAAATACACCATGGACTTAAGTTATCTTTATCAGTTTCTTTTTCTTCTACTGGTTGATTTTCAAGATTTACCAAACTTATGCAAAGACTCGTTTCATCCGTTTTCCATAGTTGAAGAACCAGCTTTTAAAAAGTTTGCAGGGTGGATTCCTGGATATAAACCGCCAACAAGAAAAACTGTCAGGTTCATTACTTCAGGAATGTTATGTCAAAACTGAGCAAATTATTAGATCACAAGTTATTAAAGGAGTAGAAAATATCTGTATTACTACTGACCTCTGGACATCTGGAGTAACTGAGAGTTACTTCCCATTAACAGGACAATATTTAACCGAAGAATTTAGTATTTAAAACGGTTTTTTTAGGCTGCTGCCATTTTTCTGGAAACCATAATTCAGAAAACAGCAATTAGTGAAATTAATAATCAGTGGGGTCTAAAACGAAAAGTAAATTTTGCAGTAACTGATAATGCCTCAAATATGTTCAAAGCTATTAAAGATGTTTTAGAATGAAAACATTTAAGTTGTTTTGCTCATACGTTAAATTTATTGGTGGAGGACGCACTTAAATGCTGTCGTGTACAAATAGATAAAATAAAAAGTCCTTTTTTTGACAATTCTGCAAAAAACACATTTAAAAAAAAGTACCTTATCTTCAGAAAGGCTTTTAAAGTATTAATTACAACATAACAAAGTTCCCAAACGGCCAATCCAAGACGTGGAAACTAGGTAGAACTTCGCCTATTACATGTTAAAAAGAATGACCGAGTTAGAAGAGGCAATCCGTTCCACATCGGTATTAAATAATACAGACTTAGACCAAATCTAAATAAAGAACACTGGATTATTTGTTCTCAACTTTCCCGACTTTTACGGCCGTTTAAAGAAATAACAAGTACAACGAGTGACCAAATACTTGAAGGGTAGTTCAGTGATTGTTATGGTACGCTGCCTGCAAGAATCTTGCAATAAAATTTTAGCAAACTGTAACCTTACATCC